AAAGAAAGAAAGAAAGGAATCTGGGGGCAAAGAATGTATGCTGCTATTAGAAACCATCCAGAAGGGGTGCCTGGGTGGCTCAGTGGGTTAAAGCCTCTGCCTTCAGCTCTGGTCATGATCCCAGGGTCCTGGGATCGAGCCCTGCATTGGGTTCTCTGCTCAGCAGGGAACCCACTTCTCCTCTCTGCCTACTTGTGATCTCTATCTGTCAAATAAATAAATAAAATCTTAAAAAGAAAGAAAGAAACCATCCAGAAACATGTGGTCACCTTTGATTAAAACCAAAAATAAAATAGGGACCTAGGAGACCTTCTTGGATTGACATAAAACAATACAAAGGCAAGGGAAGAGAATCAACTTAGTTTCTATCACCTCCCCCCACCCCGCCCCCAGCCTGCTTCCATAGATTATGTGGAGAATAGTCACACCTTCTCCAACAAGAAAATAAATTAAGATCAGCTAAAATCAGGCATAAAAACAGTTATGTAAGTCTACACGTGATAAAATAACACTACATATACACATATACATTTACCAGTGTCATATTCCTGGTTTTGGTACTATACTATAATTATGTAAGATGTAGCCATATAGGGAAAGCTGGTGGGGAACCTCTCTGTACTCTCCTTGCAATTCCATGTGAATCTATAATTATTTAAAAAAAAAAAAAAAAAAAAAGTGAAAAAACAAACATAAAACCCCAACATGGACAACATGTACCAATGCTTCAGCAGTAACAAATGCATAATTACAGTAATTCACATTGAAAGCTAAAGGTCAAACACCCAAATAACTTAATGAAGAAAACATTTTAAGGAATTTTCTTGGGGATATAATTCTTTAAAATAAACATTTTGGGGGCACCTGGGTGGCTCAGGTGTTAGGAGTTTGCCTTAGGCTCGGGTCCTGAGCCCCACATTGAGCTCCCTTCTGAGTGGGAAGCCTGCTTCTCCCTCTCCCATTCCCCCTGCTTGTGTTCCCTCTCTCGCTGCGTCTCTGTCAAATAAATAAATAAATCTTTAAAAAAAAAAAAAAACCAATAAACATTCTGATTGATAATAAACAGACCTACATTTGAACTTCCAAGTGTCTAACTCAACTTCACACTGAGGAAAAAAAACTTATGTGCTGACGGCTTTCATCAAGCTATACAGATTTTCATTTCATCAAGGATACAATAATCAGAAACGGTTCTTTCCTAGTTAATCTTTATTCTTGCCATGTAATTAATTACTCTTTGATATCAATGAAATGTTTTAAAACATCACGACGTAACACCATTCAATAAAAGAAAAATGAAGCGTTCTAATGAACACTAACACAAGACTTTCTAGCAGTCTCATCGAAGCGGTTGGACTCACCTATATGTGGCTGCTGCGCCGCAGCTAAGGCGTACTGCTGCTGCTGGGCCGCAGTTAACTGCTGAACTGTTAACGCATTTGTCCTCTGAAAGAGCTATTAGAGAAAATATTTAATACCAAGATTAGTCTCAAAGCATTTCATTTCTATTTAGAAAGCTGTGAATAGTGTATTTTAACACTGATCTCAATCACTTTCTCAACCATAAAAACATTTTCTTTCTAAAACATCAAGTATTTAAGAATACTCCTGTTATTCAGGTCAATGCCTCACAGCACTTCAGGCTACAGCAACACACAGTTAAGAGGAGCTTCTTTAAAGAAGGGTCATGCTTTACCTGCTGCTGGGAATTGTAGTCAAAAAGGCCTACAGTAGCTCCTGAAGAGTCCATGGGTACCTGATTACCAGGATAGTCAAACTGTAAGGAATCCAGACCAACTTGTTCCATGGCATCCAGATTCTGAGTTTCAGGATTTGAAAATTCTTCAACAAGTGGTTTATTAGCTGTAGGATTAGGAAGAGGCCCCAATCCTTCTGGGGGATTAGTATTGGGGCCCAGGCGCTCAACTACTTCAGTTGGAGAGGCTTGACGACTTCCAGGAGTACGACTATATAAAGAAAACAGAAAGGCTTTATGAGTAAAAGTAGTCAGTCAGTCACAGTTGGAATGGAAAAGTAGGAAAATCATGAAAAACAAATGGTGGTAAAATACAGAGGGCAAATCAGGCACACCAGGTCACTAACGTACTCCACTTCAGCATTTTTTTCTAATTTAACTTCCTCTTAAGAACAGACATGGTTTTGCTTTGTTCATACTACTAACAATCACTCTCCCTAATTTGAATAGCATAAAGATGTAACTCAATTTTACACTTAAGAAAATTGGCCAATATCACAATTTAGGCTTAGACTACCTGAAACTTTTCTCAAATCAGACAAAATGAATGGTAAGTGTGAATAGCAGACTATCAAGTGACAAATATGGGAAGACTCAAAACCAAAACCCACCTACCACACTTCCGGTCTTGTTCACCAGCATAAAATTATGCCATGATATCCTGCTTAATAATGGTTCAGGAAAAAACCAAAACTGGCCATAAAGGATGGCTTTCATGACTTCAGAGTGTAAAATGAGATGCAATGCAAAAGGACATGAACTAAGACAAAGGCTGACTCCAGTCTGTCTTTAAATATGGTTTTGAGCACATCATTTCATCTTCCAGGCCTTAGTTTCTTAAATGAGACTAAAGACATAATCTTCTTGTGCTTATTGTTTCAAGTAAGGAAGGGCAAAAAAATGAAGTGTGAAAAGCCTCTATGACAACTCTCCAAAAACCATCTTTATCACACAAAAATGTTTCAGTTTAAATCATCAGGAAGAGGGGCGCCTGGGTGGCTCAGTTGTTAGACATCTGCCTTTGGCTCAGGTCATGATCCTGGGATCCTGGGATAGGGCCCCGAGTTGAGCTCCATGCTCAGCGGGGAGCCTGTTTCTCCTCTCCCACTCCCCCAGCTTGTGTTCCTGCTCTCTGTCAACCAAGTTAATAAAATCTTTACAAAAAAAAAAAAAAAAAAAAAAAAGCGCACCAGAAAGAAATAGAAATTTATAACATATTTACCAAGAATTAAGTATGCCCAACAATAGAAAAGAGTATACACTTCATATTAAAACAGCAATTTCCCCTACTAACAAGCCTTTTTAATTTTCTCAAAAAAATTATTGAGCATCGGCTTTTCCCTTTTTATCAACATCTTTCATGGTCTAAACCTTATTTTTACTTTATTCCTAGACATAATCTATCCTCATTTACAGTGTCTTTTCTTCTGCAGAAATATTTTATGCAAGATCTCTTCCCTCACAAGAAGTAAGTTTGTTCTGAGAACATGAGCTCACAGTATATGCAAACATTAAGTACATTAAGTAAGTAACAGTAACTATTTTACCTGGCTTTCAGGGCCAGTTGTTAACACTTATGTAACTCTTCCCCCATGTTCAGGAGCTTCACATCAAGATAAATTTCCTAACATGTAAGGAGCATTTTACAAAGTAATTACTTAATGAAATTACTTAATTGTAAGAATTGATTTCCAGGTATTTAGGTGAACTTACATTTTATTTAAAAATCAACCACTATCCTTGCAATATTTAGAAGAAATTTCTAATTCCTTTCCCCTTTTAACCATACCTAATTTTTCATGTGAATATTCGAAGGTTTTTCTTTCAGAATATATGGAAGGAAAAAAAAACCTGAAAGGATCTTCTTTAATTTTAAAATAAAGCTTGCTATAGTTCTTCACTTCCTTTCAGTTCTACACTCCAGTGATTATATACTGATGCGGTATCAATTAATGTACATATTAGTGATATGTTAGCATAGTGACCTGACCATATGGCCACAGCTATTAGCCCAAAACATTTGTACACTATCAAGCATAATACTGTATCTAGAATATTTCATAAACAACTTTAAATGCATACCCCAAACTTAGTGGAGTAAAATTGGAATGCTAATAAATGTAGTAAATTTCATATTATGGAGAAGCATAGCCTTTCAAACAAACAACTCTAATATGGCAATAAATAGAGGATATAATAGAAAAAAGGCATTGCGCTATTAAGTGGTGCTATTTTCTTGCTATAGTTAATGGTGTATTAACACTTCAATTATAAATGCATACTGTGAAGGGCTCATAATCAACTCAGTTTTAAATATATGCCCTTGACTAAAACTTAGATTAGGTAATTGCAGAGAAGTAAAATCAGGATAAGGTTCTAAAACAAATTGAAAAACATTAAAATTTATTTCTTATCAAAGAGGTTTACTGGTTTTGGATGCTTTTTTGCACTTACAACAGACACAAATGGCACTGTTTTAAACAGCATTGTTACTCTGCTTTTGATAATGAAAGGCAATGAATGTAAAAGCATACCATCCACATATATGGTTATACTCAGTTAACTGGGATTCCACGGTTCACAGGATCTCAATGAAACAGCTCATTTTTCAGGTATAACCCCCAAAGCATCTGACTAATGAAGTGTAAAGTGTAGGAATTCAGTATGAAGAAAACAACTCCCTATTATCTAGGTAAATGTATATACTGCCTAATCTGAGATCAAAGCTAGAAGAAAACACTTACTTAACTGCCATAAAGAAACAACTGAAACGTTACAACTTAAAAGAATTCTAAGCGCAAAGCTAACTTTTTAAAGTCTCTAATATGTTCCCTACCTCCTAAATTCAGGAATATTAAGTATTACCATAAATTCATATACACTAATAAGGAAGGTCACAGCTCCTAAAATAATTGTTTCCTCATTTCTGAGATTAGGAGTTAGACTGGGTGGGGGGTGTTGGGGATACAATACAGGGATAGAAGGAAGAGGAAACTCCATAGAAAGCTGCTCAAGAGCAACCCCAAAGGAGTCTTGCCAAGAAAAACCAGATTAAACCTAAAATTCACTAAATTTTAGCAGGGAGGAAAAAGTTAAAATTTAGACTATCATATTAGCAGAAAGATAACAGCAACTTCTAACATTACTCCTTTAATGAAATGCACTGTTTGAGACTATTTTGAGGAATTATTTTTTTTTAAATGGTGCATAATCAACTAATACTCCTTATGAAAAAAATTAAATCTACTAGATTAACACAAGATACAAAGGGAAATAAAATAAACCAAAATTGGAAAATGTCTAAATCAATCACATCAACTAGTAGTATCATCCCTGAAGATATGCTTTTCTTCTTGAGAAAGTTAAAGTCTTACTTAAAATCTTTGCAATCGGCATCCATTCCATTTGGCAAACCTCTGCCATTTATTTTAGAATCATCATCATCTCCTTGTTTAAGATCTCTGTTTTGGTCCTCCTCAAATGGAGAAGCCTTGCCTTTTTGATCTCCTTTCTCAGGTCCATCTGTTTCAGCATCTCTAGTGCCCTGAGGAAAAAGAATCTGTTTGATTCTGAATATTTAATAGAACACAAAAAAAGGCACCATAAGGTGACCTAAAACTATGCTATAGTGCATGTAAACAATAAAAGCATTGTATCTTATTTTAATGTTGTAATCAACTAATGTATCAAAGGCCAAAAAACTGAGCACAAAACAGTGATTTATAACAGAAGGGCTAAGGCAACCTTAACTATAGCGGTGCTGGAAAAGCAGTAACACCACAGACAAGATTAAAATTCTACTTAAGGCATATGATTTTGTTTAGTTACTTCCACATCAAGCACTACCATGAATAAAGAACTGTAATCTTGCAAATTATGTTTCTTAACTAATATGGTTGATATCTGTAACATGGCTAAGATTATATTCCCATTGGTTCTCTATTTCATGTATTTCAAGAAGTGGCCAAGAGAAGAAAACCAGAGCTCCAACAGCACCAAGATTTCCTTTAACTCTGCGAAGAGCCAAAAAAATAAATGGACTTAAAGAAAACCAAATAACCACTGAATAATTATTAAATATTTCTTTATTCAAAATACTTACAAAAGTTCCCTTCCTAAATCGAGAATCCAATTTATCAGCAGGAGAAGAACTTAATACATATTCTACCATGCTCACACCAAGGCCTCCACTTTCTGATCGCGGAGACAGTATTGCATTTACTTCACTGTTTCCATGAAAACCCTGTCCAGATCTTCTCTGTACCATAATAGGCTGGGACATTGAATGGTCTGTTTGGAAGGAAGAACACAATTATACATTTGTACGTTTAAATTAATCAAAATGTATCTACATAAATTAACATATTAAGGTAAAAAATCAGCATCTTGTTTTATTTTGAATGTTATTATGATCCTGATAAAAAGCTTTCATACTGCTGAGACTCGCTGGCCTGGGCACATTTCTTGGGAACACAGAAAGCAAGTCATTTGGTTTAAAAAAAAAAAAAAAAAAAAAAAAGGTTAAAAGCTGATAAAAGAACTATCGAATCAGAAAGGTCAATAGAGACAGAAATGTTAACCTAAAGGCTCAGCTGCCAATAAGCATCTTGTTAAATGTTAAAGCTTTCTTAGTGATTCATAATAATTCAAAACAAAAACCTTTAGAAGTGAAACCTAGAAGAATAACAGTAACTCCTAAACTGGCAGGGGCACACCTCAAGCTCATAGTTATATATACTGGATGGATTCAGAACACACGGCTGTACGACTATAAACACAAACAAGTAAGTTTGGAAAAAAATCAGTTAATATCAGAGAATTTTCTATTCTTGGTGTAAAAACTGTCACCTAAACATTATTTTTAGAAGTCCCTTCTAGGGGCTCCTGGGTGGCTCAAGTTGGTTAAGCATTGGCCTTCAGCTCAAGTTACGATCCCAGAGTCCTGGGATCAAGCACCACATTGGGCTCCCTGCTTGCCAGGGAGCCTACTTCTCCTTTCCCTTTACCTGCAGCTCCCCCAGCTTGTGTGCTCTCTCTCAAATAAATAAAATCTTCTAAAATAAATAAATAAATAAACAAAAGTCCCTCCCAGTTTAAAGGTTTTCATTTTTAACAAAAAAATTATTCATCTGGTATGAATACCTTTCTACACATTTTGTATGCTTTTTAAAAAATTAACATATAATGTATTATTAGCCCCAGGGATACAAGTCTGTGAATTGTCAGGCTTACACACTTCCCAGCATTCACCATAACACATACCTTCCCCAATGTCCATAACCCAACTACCATCTCCCTACCTACCCCCACCAACCCTCAGTTTGTTTTGTGAGATTAAGAGTCTCTTATGGAGGGCCACCTGGGTGGCTCAGTTGGTTAAGCATCGGCCTTCAGCTCAGGTCATGATCCCAGGGTCCTGGGATCGCGGCCTGCATCAGGCTCTCTGCTCGGCAGGGAGCCTGCTTCTCCCTCTCTCTCTGCCAGCCTCTCTGCCTACTTGTGATTTCTCTCTCTCTCAAATAAATAAATAAAAATCTTAAAAAAAAAAAAAAGTCTCTTATGGTTTGTCTCCCTCCTGATCCCATCTTGTTTCATTTCTTCCCTTCCCTACCCTCCCAAGCCCCCCACTTTGCCTCCCTTTTCTACACATTTTTATGACAAAAAGAAAAAAAACAATATTTAAGATCAGAGAACAAATGGAATACAAATATAATAAAACATTTGAGGCAACATTCAAATAGATTTACCAAAAAAAAAATTTTTTTAAGGCACCAATAAGCTAACTCTGGTTCATTTGTTATCACATGTAATACTCAATATTAAGTCTAGTCCTTAAGAGGCTGAACTATCACAGTGGTACTACTCAGCCACCATTTCATTAACCCTATGTTTTTAAGTGACTACTACTTTTGTTAAGGCATATTAAAACATTTCCATTGTAGTACCTTTATCTATAAGGAATTAGTCATTATAATATTTCATTCAATCATTCACCCATTCATTAACATACTTCAAATGTTGGTTTATAGTCTCTCGTATGCTGGGCATTGTACTATGTATGGGGAATCCAAGAACAAGACAGTTCCTGCCCTCAAAGAGATCACAGGTTTATTATAAAGCAATCATAACAGAGTAAAAGTGCATCATTAAAAATGACCCAGGATACTATGGAAACTGAAAGAAGGGACATTAATCCTTCCCAGTGTTAGAGTGAATTCCAAAGGAAGTGATATGAAGGGTAAAGAGTTAAAGTGAGCAAAAAAACAGGTGAACATGAGGGTGAAAAGGTAACTTCAGCTAGAGAAACTAACTATATGATAAAGTCTCCTGCAGTCATGGAAAGACTCTTCTTTAGAACAATTCCTCTAGAACAAGGAATATCTTACTCATATCTGTACATACTTGGCATTCAATAAATGTTCTATAAACAAAATAACTTCTCATTTTTTATTCATTCCTAATTTCCTCATATCTCTGGGTAAAGACTAATATTTATCTTTAAAATTTTATCCCTACAACTAAAAAAAGTTAAGTTACAGAAGGAAGTGGCACAAGAAATTCAAAATACAAACCTGACACTAAAAGAAATATATAAGTATGTTGCTTAAATGTTTTATTGCTTGTCCTCCAAATAGAACATACCAAATCCATCTTAGAAATAATCTCTCATTACCATGTTGTGCTCAAGATGTTTTGCTTCAGAATGCTTTAAAAAATATTTGGTTCTAGTAAATAAAGTAATTAAGCACTCAACCTTCAAAACAAAAATCAAAACATGTCTACCAGTCAAGTTTTCAAGCACACGTTATTTTATTTTAAAGACTGTATTTGGGACGCCTGGGGGGCTCAGTCAGTGAAGTGTCTGCCTTCAGCCCAGGTCATGATCTCAGGATCCTGGGACTGAGTCCCACATCAGGCTCCTTGCTCAGTGGGGAGCCTGTTTTTCTCTCTGGCTGCAGCTCTCCCTGCTTGTTCTCTCTGACAAATTAAAAAAAATAAAATCTTAAAAAAAATTAATTAAAAAAAAGATTTTATTTATTTTTGCAAGAGAAAGAGAAAGCACAAGGTGGGGGGGCAGAGGGAGAATAAAGAAACACCCAGGTAATTTACACTCAAAATTTAAGGTTAGTTTATCATCCAGTAGTATTTTACTGTAACAAACGCTTCTAATTATCAAGTAGACCATTAGATAAGGGTTAATTTATATTAAAAATATACATTATAATGACTTACAAAATTTTCAACAAAGACATCACAAATTTGCTCTAAATACTGTCCGGGGATAGGCAGGGTTTCAAAAAATTTAAGTCAAGTCGTAATTCTCCCACATAACAGCAATAACTTACGAGAAGTTCCCCAGGCAGTCTCTCTCCATTCATCATCCCCAAGAAATATGCCTTTTTGTCCATCTTTTGTTGAATCATCAGGTTCCCAAAACTTTTTGGTAGGCAAAAGCTATTCGGGAGGGAAAAAATATTAATTTAAGTTTCATTCTAATTGCAAATTTATTCTAATTCTACGTGGTTTGTGAAAGCAAACTTACCACCAATATGAAATTAGTTTTCAATACTAAGGAAAATTCAGAGAGAACTATTTTCTATTTTGTTTTGTTAAAAAGAAAATAATCCCAACTTAATGTTTGGGGACTGGCTCTAATAATTTAAAACCTGAACCCTAGTCAAAGTCCCCTTCTGACTTGTCTATATATTTGAAATGGTTTTACCACCACGTGACTTTCTTTGTAAATTTTTTTTAAAAACTTACTAAATTTTGTATTCAATATAAATAAAAACATCTATACAAAAGATGAAAACCTCTCCTTTACTTCCAAGAACTGCCCTTGGATCACCTCCTATCCCACAGCTTCCATGATAGAAAATTCATCTTCACTTTTACTTCACTTATTCAATGGAAGTTAACTTCATAACTCTTCGTAGGTCTGGAATGCTAGCAATCTATCAATTCCAAATCAGGAACCTATGGATGGTGGAAGATACACAGAAAGGAACCTCAAATACTTCTGAAATAATCTAAAAGCCCCATGCTCTATCTACCATATATATGACACACACAGCACATTAAAACTGTGTTGATACAATGATTCACTGGTTATTCAAAATGTACATTTGGCTAATTCCTAATGATACTTATCCAAGCCTCTCCTCTCTACCTTCCCTGACACTCAGAGAAGATGGACTGGGGATATGTCTGTCTGAAAACAATAGAATGGTTTTCTGAGACATGCATTTGGCATTTTAAATAAGCATTCTTAAGACCTCCTCCCTCTCAGCCCATAATTAGGTACCCTGTTCTTTCAGTGCTCATAATTAAATCTGTATACTTCTAACACTACACTTATCACACTAAATTACCTGTGTCTGCCTCCTTAGGGGCTTGGTAACCTTATTTTCAGAGAGCTCACAAATATACTAAATGTAATAAAACAAACTCAGTAAAACCTGAACTGGATCTGAGAAATAAAACTGGGGGTGGGGGGTGGTGAAAGTGTGAGTGGAAGGTGAGGAAGATAAAGTAAATCATGAACAAAGGCACAACCTAATAAATTGCACTGTGTGTACAACAAGGTATGAGATGAATGAACAGATGAGAGCATGTCAAAGATGATGCTGGTAAAGCTTTCTTGATCAGATCCTGAGGAGCCTTAAAGACAAGCTAAAGAAAAGTACACATTACTTTGAAGTAAAGGGAATCCAGAGAGGTTGTTAAGAGTGACATTACATTTTAGAAAACAACTCAAGTTGTAAGCTATAAGAATAATGGATATTCTAGACTACAGACAAGGAAATCAGTTTAACAGAACTACGACAGGGCCAAGATGGTAAGAACTGAAATAGGGTAGTAACAAAAGAACTAGAAAAATAAAATGGTTTGAGAGTTCTTTGTATTTAGTAGCAGTCAACAGAATCTGATTACAAATGGGGAGGAGACTGATAAAATTTAAAATCTGGGTAATAAGGTAAATGGTAGTACTACAGAAGCAGCTTTGAAGGCAGGGGGGAAAGTTCAATTTGTGCATGTTCCTAATCTACAGATTTTTTGCTAAACTAAATAGATTTGACCTTAAAGGAAAGCAACTTCTGCTATTTTAAAAAGAATAATTTTTCCACGTTAGGAACATCCTGGGCTGCAAATGATTTGTATTTAAAGCACAGACATTTTAAACAATAATCTGCAACCTCTTCCTTCGGGTTTTTTTATTGTTGTTTTTTTAAATCTCACTATAAAAGGTTCATGTAAGTACTCAAACAAAATGCAAAGCTGATTAATATAATACTAAAACACTATACTTGATATAAATAACTGAACATTCATTCATAGTAAAACCCAACTTAATCCTTAAAATTATGGTTCCTGAGAAAATAAACTTATCTCATACATCATGAAAAAAGACTCAATATCAAAGTAACAGTAACAAGGAATTGAGAATAAAATTTTGACTTAATAGAAGCAGTCATCATAGACACAGAAGTCTTCTAAGACTTAAAACTTATCTTCTAAGGTAGCAGAAATAATAGAAACTCTCTGAGACCATTCCAAAGCCTTTGTGATAAAGTGCCATGCAGTGCTTTAGTAGAGAAGTTCATATATCCCTGCTTTAAAATACAAAATTATACAACTAGGAAAAAAAAAGTTAAGCACTTATCCAATATGCCCACTTTCTGCCAAGCACTATACTAAGAATATCTTTTCATTTTGCAAATATGTGTAAGTTACCATGCACAGGAAAACAATTTAGTAGTTAATAAAATTAACACTTCTTCTAACAGAGGCCTGTACTTTCTAGAAACAACTTTTTGTGACAGTTTAGACATCGATTCCAAATACTTTCAGAAACTACTAGTTTGTGACCAAGAATAAAATTAAAATGAGCTAAATATAGGGGAAGGCAATAATTCAGGATAGAACAGTTAAAAAAAAAAAAAAGATTTAGGCAGTATGCTGGTTGGAATAGCAACAGCGATTTGCCCCTGGAGACTCTTTTACTACAGTAGAAATGGGGAAGAATATTATAGAAAACAAGGGCTAAGAGATCTTAAAGATCTGTACAATACATGATCCACTACCACTTCGTATTAGTTCCATAATTCACAGAAGCTTTAAACCAAGGTCAATCAATTCAGTATTTGTCAACTTGCAACTCTGTCCTCACAAGTCAGAAACGACTGGGTGAACATAAAAATTCATCCCCCAGCTGTCCACCATTTTATTAGTTCTTTCTTTCAAGAAGCATTTATGGCTTGCCCTCTCCATCTTCAAAGAAATCAGTCAAAACCTAGCATGCTGCCTCAAAATATGTAATAAATTCCTCTAGAATTTTAGAGGTGTACTTGTTTTTTTTTAATGCAAACTGTTACATAAAAATCACATAACCAACCAAATTAACATAATCCTAAGAATCAAATGAATTTGAAAGGTTTTATGTCTACAATATGGTGTTTTAAATTAAGGTGTTCATAAAAATCCAAAGTGGGGGACACTTTTGAGGAAGGGGGTGCTATTAATAATTATACCATGACAAGGGCACCTGGGATCAAGCCCCACATCAGGCTCCCTGCTCAGCGGGGAGTTTGCTTCTCCCTCTCCCACTCCCCCTGTTTGTATTCCCTCTCTCTCTCTTGCTGTCAAATAAAATCTTAAAAAACAGTAATAATAATAATTATGCCATGACAACAGATATGTATCTGGACTGTCTGGGCAAATCAGGATGTAAGATGACTCTCTTTATAAATGGAAATTCAGAAAAGAGAGGCACAGATGTTAATAACTAAATCTGTAGACAACAAAAAAAAATACAAGGTAATTCTTTAGAACCCCAGAAGAGTGCTTTTCCAGACTTTAATCTCTTCCGTTAATAAAAGAAAGCAATACTTTTTCATTTTTTCAAATCTTACAACTTCACCAAATCTTCTCCATTCCTAATATGCTTTAACAGAAAACATTAGACGTCATCACTTCCAATAGGAAGCATTATTGTAAATAGTCAAGGCATCCATTCCATCACTACTATACATGATCTTGGGCCAGGTAATTAACCATTCTGAGCCTCAGTTTCCTCATCTGTAAGGATAATAATAAAGCAACTGTCATGAGTTTCTTGAGGCTAGAATGAAATAGCGTAAGTAAACTACTTAGAACAGTATCTAGCACACAGCAGACACATAAATATTAGATATCTTTACTACTAAAAAACAGTAATCTTCTAATACTGTAAAATATAAGTAACATACTAACCAGCAACATTTAACAGGCTGATTTAAGAACTAGGTCATTATTCATTATATTTTCAAGTCCATCTGAGTATTGTAGGTGGATCATGAAATAAACAACAGATGCCTAATACAGTCCCATTCTGCATGAGGAAACAGAACCAACGTTATACATGTGGCTAGTGAGTGGCAGCATCAGGATTTGAATCCATCAATCTGTGTAATTACACTGTCATTCTCCTTACACTTAACTACCACGGAAGACGGTTCTTTTCAATCAGTCTAAATCATCAGCATTTCTGAAAATTCTCAATAGAATGCCACTAGATATAATAAACTTTAATGGTATTATCAAGCTATTCAGCCTATATAATGTGGGTATTCATTATAGTGGATAAAGTTTAAGGTAGAATTGTTAAGATAAAGATTTATGTAGACAAAACTATGATCTGTCTTCAAGTAGCTGGTTTCCATTCCAGTCGTCCCTAAAAGCTCAGGTCAGAGCTGTAACATTTGAGATACATATAATTCATACAAAAGATAATTCTTATTACTGTCTTCAAAGAAGCCAGTCTTACTTGAGGTCATAGCACTAGTGGTAGATCAGGGAAAACAGAAGTCTCCTTACTCCCCTATCCAGTATTCCACTTCACCACACCACCTGGGATCTTGGCATATAATTTTCTTTAAATATTACTGTGTACTGGGGTGCCTGGGTAGCTCAGTGGGTTAAGCCTCTGCCTTCAGCTCAGATCATGGTCCTGGGGTCCTGGGATGGAGCCCCACATCGGACTCTGCTCAGCAGGGAGCCTGCTCCGCAACCCCCCCCCCCCCCCCCGCCTCTCTGCCTCCTCGTGACTTCTCATTCTCTCTCTGCCAAATAAATAAATAAAACCTTAATAAATAAATAAATACATACACACATACTGTGTAAGAAAGGAGGGGGCATTATTTATCATACTAAGCTATGAATACTCCTCAAATAAAACACATTAACTCAGTGACTTAAATTCTGGGTTTCCTAAAGAATTTCAGGCAGAGGCCTCTTTCCCCCTATTTAAAAAAAATAAACAGGAACACAGAGTGTGTGTATAAAATAACAGATATGCGTCTCTGCAGTCTAGTTTTAAAACACTATACTAATGAAGCTGAGTTCAACCTCCTATGAATTCCTTTGCTCTTTTTAAGCAATATGATGTAATACAAATCAGTGTTTTTTGACAAGAACATGCTATGAAAAATATGGAAAGAATGAGTTTATGAATGGATGAATACAGATCTATTCCCATTTCTGGATGACCAAATAGAAAAGATTGCCCTTCTGATGATGGGCCAGCAAAGGTATCACAATCTATAAAACCCAGTACATTTGAAAACAGTCCTATACATAATGCAGTGCTTCCTACATTAAAGATCTACAACAATTTAAGATATAATAAAGAAAACTTTATTTTTGAAGAAAAAGTCAAGAATAGGGCAATGCTTTAAAAAAAGATGTCACATTAAAAAAATAAACAAGCAATTTTAGAAAACCGAAGAGCCAGAAACTCAGGGCTATTTTTAATTTATTAAAATGAATGAATTCTGGGATAAAACAAAAACAAAAAAACCTCACCTGTCAGGAAAGGAGGAGAAGACTGGTGAGAGAGAGACAGGCAAAGAAGGAAATCCCAGAAGGTTCCCTGCTGCCTGTGAGATGAGGAAAGATAGAAAGGCTTGTGGGAGAGAGAACCCAGAGACAGAAACCTGAGGTTTCTTAGCTATCTCTTAGAGCTAACAGAATTAGTTGGTAAACTGTTAAGAAAAAATAATTAGCGATAACAGCTTATTTAAAAATACATTTCTACTGAATGAAGTTCACAGAAGCATTGATGTACTGCTATCTGCCCAAAAAAGCAGGCAGTCTTAACCCTCGCCACTTTTATACCCTAGCCATTTTTACTCGGCATATCTGAAATTTCCATTAAGAAAGCCTAGCTTTAAGTTTAGATTAACATACTATTCCAACCCAGCTTCTTTTTTCCAAAAACCTCAAGTATACTTCCTCCACCCCCAAATAACTAACCAAACTCTTCCAACTGTTTCTGATAACTTTTTTTTTTTTATCTGCAAAGATGTCTTTACCTTTATCAACTATTTGGAAAGGTAGGGGGGAAATGAGCCAATCGGTAAATATACACACAACGTAGATGTAGGAAGTAAAGTGCTTGGAGGGGAGGGTGGGTCTAAGATAATTAAGTTAATGGTGTGACTTTATTTGTTCTTTCAAGTTCGAGGGGTGCCTGGGTGGCTCAGTAGGTTAAACCCTCTGCCTTTGGCTCAGGTCCTGATCGAGCCCCGCATGGAGCCCCGCATAGGGCTCTCTGCTCAGCGGGGAGCCTGCCCCACCCCCTGCATGCCTCTCTGCCTACTTGTGATCTGTCAAATAAATAAAATCTTAAAAAAGAAAAATCAAGTTCAAGTTTGTCACAGATTTGGCTGAAACACTGTTCAAACCTGCTTTTAAGATTGGTCTTTAGAAAGCAGAATAACCTAAGAAAACAAGTAGCAGGGAACAAAACAAAAAGCCCTTTTCAACTGCTTCTTTTTATTCGCCCATAGCGTAAATAAAGCCTAAGTAGCCACTGTACTGCAGTGAAGCTCTAGTTTGTTTTGTTTGACTAAAAAATTATTCCCTCTTTCAAATCTTTCTTAGGGACCAGAATTTTACCTTATGCACTAGACTAACAAGTTTACTTTGGCAATACTTATGCTTAAGCACCTTAACTCACCCTTAAATCAGTCCTCTGAAAATGACAAACTCTTTGGAAAACGCTGTTCTGGAGAAGGGAAGGGTTAGCTAGCTGCAGGGTGCCCTCTTGTGGCCCAGAGGAGTGACTGGACTCTTTTTCTGCATCTGAAGAGCACAGCATTGGATGGAGTGAGTCTCAGGAAGGTCTCTAATCTACCAAAGTAAAATAATCTCCAGGAGCAAGCAGTTATTACACATCTTATGTCTGTTCACGGTTATGTTCTATTAGCAAAGTCCAATTATGTTAGTACTATAGAACACGACAAAATAAAGATGTGACCACAAGGGTTTTTATAAGCAATTAAAAAGTTTTCTAAATATTCTTTAGGTTTATGGAAAACTAAGCATTTTTTATGCCTTAAATTATGTAATGGTGCAGTTAAATGGAATGCCCCAATGAAAATCATATATTAACAGGACTGATAAAATCTGTTAAAAAATTCAGAATGCTCACTATGTGTCAGTTATTCAAAGCTAACAATCTATATAAGAGACTAATATAAAAACTGTAACAAAGTAATATAATAAAAATATGTACAAAGATCTATGAGAAGTCAGAAGAGGAAGTAATTCTATTACAGATAGCAATGGGACAATAGGTAAGACTCATTTCTCAGTACAGTCTTGTAGAGGATTAGAAGTTTATTAAACAAACACTGAACAAGGAGAGTTTTTTTTTTTTTTAGAAGAGAGAATAGTGAACAATTAAGTGTGGCAAAAGCAAACAGCATACATATATAAAACAGCAGGACAAGGATAAAGAAAGGCTCTTTTCAGAGCAAAGTAATTATTGTTCATTACCAAAATATAAAACATGATCTAAACCAAGTCAATCAAATCAACTCCACACAATCTCACTAAAAATTACCACTAGGGGTTAAAAAAACAAAAACAAAAATTGAAATCACCACAACTATAAAACTGTATAATCCAAAATTTTAAAAAACCCACATGTGGAAGACATAACCACTATTTTCAAGAATATTTATGGTTTTCAAAAATAAGTCTCAACGGCTCAAATAATCAATGTGAGATATACATTCTCAGTATTAATAAATATTTACCTCTCCCATTCCCCGAGATTCTAATGCAAGAGCTTGAAAATCATGATTCATTTCATCCACAAATCAAACCTGTTGAATAACAAAAACAAAAATTAGTAAAAAGAAAAATTTAAATAGACTGCATCAAATATTTTTATATTATATTGCTGCTATTACTGCTATTAGCATGAGCTGAGACAGGCAAAAACTGATTTCTCTATGAAGACAGATTTTCCTAAAGAGAGCACATAATAGCAATTTGTATTAAAATTAAAATTAAAACCCTGGGGTCAAAAGTTCTTGGGCTAGTCTGTGTATCAAGAGAAACCCCTACTAGTTGAACAAAACAGATGGAAAGTAAAGAAGAAAAGAAGCAAGCTCAAATACTAAAATAGTCTATTTTTTGTTATAGTTTCAATTACAAAATTACTTTTTTACTTCAGTTAACATTTTTCAAAACTTCTCAGCACTTCATTATTTGTAGATCTGATACCAATGATAAAAAAAAATTTCACTGAAAAGTATTAAAATTTCCTTAAGAGAAGCTCCTTTCCCTTCTCCTTACACTAAAACTAAAGTGTATTTTGTTGACAATTTTCTAATTGTTTAGTTTATCATTCACATGACAATGTGTTCTTGAGTCAGAGGCCCTTACCTCCTACCATTAAGCACTGTGGCAGAAAAATCACTCAACACTGAGGCCACTACAAATTTAGCTTTCCGAGCTTTGGGGTCTTACAATATAATCCTATTATTTCCCCCAACCAGTCTCTCTCTTTTTAAAAATCCATAGCATGTGACATTACAAAGCACTCAGTCCTTCCTGTAAGGGAGGAGTTCTTTGTTCCTACTTTGTCTCTTAAAATTCTTCTACTCACACCGCCCCCACCCCCAGCTGCTTTTTCTCAGACTTTTTCTCAGACTTCCATTTGTCTCTTCAAGTCATTTTAAATGTTAGTGTTTCCTAGTACTCTATCCATGGTAGTCTCCCCTGTACCCTTTACCCCGTGCAATCTAATCTACACTCATTGTTATATATATGCTTAGGACCCTGGCTCTAACATTTCTATTTATGAACCAAAATCTCTCTTCTCATAAAAATTTCCAATTATCTCCTTCCTCCCATTCCCTGGGCAAAATTTCAACTTTACTCCTTTCTTCCCCATTTATAACTTAATTCTTTCCTTTCTTACACCAATATCCAGTCACTAATGTCAACCTCACTTATATCTAACCATTTTCCATCTGTCTGGTTATTATTGTGTCATTTTAAAGGTTTTTTTTGGGGGGGGGGTGGAGCAGAGGGAAAGGCAGAGAGAGAATCTGAAGCAGGTTCCCTGCCCCGGGCTCAGCTCCAGCACAAGGCTTGATCTCACCACCCTGAGATCATGACCTGAGTCAAAATCAAGAGTTAGACGCTTAACCAACTGTGCCATCCAGGTGCCCCACCAGCTGTGTGATTGTTTAGACTACCACCATCTCTTACCTAAAATATTATGATCCTCTCCCATCTTCCCATCATATAATCTAATCTCCAAACCAGTTATTCATCTCCAAATCAGTTATCTTTCTGAATTATACTTTGTTCCTGTAACTCCTATATTTTAATCCTTGACTTATAAAGGTCAAACTCCTAAGCTTACAAGGGGACAGAATTGGATTCAAATTATAGTTCTCACAGCTTACTAGCTCTAGAACTCTGGACAAGTAACCTAAACTTTTTTCTCCATTTCTCCATGGGAGGGTAACAGTAGCAGCTGCCACACGGCTTACTGTAAAAGCTGAAAAAGGTAACAAAGAACACTTAAACTGGTGCTGGGTACATAATCATTCATAACTGAGCTATTAAAGTGGTGCCTGACTGGTTCAGTCCATAGAACATGCAACTCTTGATCTTGGGGTTGTAAGTTCAAGTCCCACGTTAGGTGCAGACCTTACTTAAAAATAAAATCTTTTTTTAAAAGTTAGCTATTGGGGTGCCTGGATGGCTCAGTGGGTTAAGCCTCTGCCTTCAGCTCAGGTCATGATTTTAGGGTCCTGGGATCAAGCCTCGCATCGGGCTTTCTGCTTGGCGGGGAGCCTGTTTCTCCCTCTCTCTGTGCGTACTTGTGATCTCTCGGTCTATGAAATAAATAAATAAAAATAAAAATCTTTTTTAAAAAAAGTTAGCTATTAAAAAAGCTCTTCAATCTTTTCATCAAATGATACTTGAACAATGATATATCCATATGCAAAAAATGAACCTCAACACATACCTTACATCTTAATATAAAGATTAACTAACAGATCATACACCTAAATGTAACACCTAATATTATAAGATTTCTCGAAAAACAGAAAAGCTGTGTGACCTAGCATCTGGTAATGATTTTTAACATCAAAACCAGAGTCAATAAAAGAAAAACCGATGTCTAAAAAATTTGACTTAATTAATAAAAACACACTATATGAAAGCCACTGATAATAATGAAATGACCACAGACCAGGAGAAAAATATTTGGAAATCACATATCCCAATACAGGACTTGTATCAAGAATGTTAAAAAAACTCTTGGGAAGCCTGGGTGACTACTCAGTTAAGTGACTGCCTTTAGCCCTGGGATCAAGCCATGTATCTGGCTCCCTGCTCAGCGGGGAGCCTGCTTCCCTCCCCAACTGCCTCCCTCTCTGCCTACTTGTGATCTGCCAAATAAGTAAATTAAATCTTTAAAAATAATAACCCAATTTAAAAATGGGCAAAAGATCTGAACAGATACTACATCAAAAAAGATATATGGATGGCATATAAGCTATTCTCTTGTTAGAAAAGCTGGATTCATTAATGGTTTTCACAAAATGAGTATTTTATTCACCCTTTCATTTACTCAGTAAGCTTTTACTGGACATCTTCAATGTGTTAGATTTTGTAGAGAAAAAAAGTTAAAATATGGTCACTGTTCTTAAAAGAGTTAAAATGAATTGCACAGGTAGATTTTGTAGAGAAAAAAAGTTAAAATATGGTCACTGTTCTTAAAAGAGTTAAAATGAATCGCACAGGTTTCCTGGTAATCGGAGGTGTAGCTCCTTTAACCTAAATCCTCTGCAGATACCTATACACTCTGGAAAAACAGAAACCTGAAGGTAACAGAAAACAACAAAAAACAAACTAGAAGAGAGCCTACACTTAAAGGACTGGCATAGAGTGAGTTTTTTAATGGCTTTTTTTGCCTGAGGACAGGCCTGGGTATGGAGGTAGGGTGCCAAAATTCCTATAAAGAATCCAGTCTTGGGGGGCGCCTGGGTGGCTCAGTGGTTAAAGCCTCTGCCTTCAGCTCAGGTCACGATCTCAGGGTCCTGGGATCGAGTCCCGCATCGGGCTCTCTGCTCAGCGGGGAGCCTGCTTCCCTCTCTCTCTCTCTCTCTCTGCCTGCCTCTCTGTCTACTTGTGATCTCTGTCAAAAAAATAAAAAAAAAATCTTAAAAAAAAAAAAAAAAAAAAAAGAATCCAGTCTTAAAGGCTTGAAGAACCAAAGGACAGACTTTGGGGCAACCAGAGATGCTGGAAACTGAGAAGTCTCCGAAAGGAAACAACCTGTAAAGACAAATATGTAAATATATATAAAGCTTTATTACAAGCATGCTTGCAGTAGTGTTGCTTGCAGATTACAGGAATTCTGAAATTATAAACCACATAACTGCCACACAACACATTTATAAAATGGAGTATCATGTAACTACTAAAAATATTTGAATTTGAAATTAAGAAAATGCTTAGATAGTAATGTTAAGAAAGACTGAAAGGAGAGGAGGCTGGGTTGCTCAGTCCGTGAAGCATCTGACTTTGGTTCAGGTCATGATCTGGGGGTCCTGGGATGGAGTCCTGCGAGCCTGGTGCTGGGGATCCGAGCTCAGAGGGGAGTCTGCTTCTCCCTCTCCCTCTGCACTTCCTCCCACTCATGCTCACTGGTGTGCTCTTTCAAGTAAGTATTTGAAAACACAAAAAAGACTGAAAGTAAATAATCCAAAATTCATACAGTCCTTAAGTGATCAGAATACACCATTTTATTCATCTATTTATCTGTATTTTATTACCTTTCTACAAGTCCATGAGACAAAGAAGAGGAATCTTTTTTTAATATTTTATTTATTTATTAAAGAGAAAGAGAAAGAAAACACTGCCAGGGAAAACGGCAGGCAGAGGGAGAAGCAAGGTCCCTGATGAGCGAGGAGCCCAATGCAGGACCTGATCCCAGGACTCTGGGATCATGACCAGAGTCAAAGGCAGACAGACGCTCAACTGACTGGGTGGCTCGGCACCCAGGGGTCCCGGGAGGGAGATTTTTATTAAGAAAAATGAAAACACCAGAGTAGAAGACAAGAAATTTTCTCAAGAGTAAATAAGGACCAGAGCTTTACTGAAGCCTTTCTTTGGTTACTTCCAGGTTTTCATCTGTGGTCCAAATAAATGAGGTTGTAAGTTAAAGAACCTCCAGATACATGTGCCAAGTCTCAAGGATCCATTCTCTCTTTTGTGGTCAATCATGCCCAGGGGAGGGGTCAACAAACTTTCAGGGAAGAGCCAGACGGTAAACATTTTAGCTCTGGCAGGTCATATGACCTCTGTTCTCAACGACACCTGTGTAGCACAAAAGCTGCCACAGGTCAAAATAAATGAGCATGAATGTGTCCCAATAAAACTTCACTTATGAATAGTGAAATCTGGATTTCGCGTATTTTTTATGTGTAACAAAATGTTATTCTTTTTCCACCCAACCACTTAAAAATCTAAAAACCAATTCTAGAAAGTGAGCCAAAAAACACAGGTTGTGGGCCGGATCTGGACTACAGTTTGCTGATCTTTGCTCTAGTGGATTCGGTTTGACTGCTTCACACACAAAAACATCAAAGGCAGATAATCCACTTTCAAATATGAGCAAGCCAAAAGTTAAACATTAGGGCTTTGCTTCCAGCTTTTTCATTTATACTATCCCCAGGAATATTTTCTTCTTCTAATGAATAGTATTATAGGTCACATTTAAATGGAGGTGACTCAGTAGGTTATGAGGAAAAGGCTTTAAAATACAAAAGAAAACAAAATCTGTAGAACACTC